CAGTGATTTTTAAGGTGGAACTGTTTTATACAGTGTTTTAGAGGTTTTAATCAGCGGGTCTGTTTATTTTGGAGAGGAGGAGACCTCTGTGGATAATTGGGCTGCCGGTAGAGAAGATAAATGCAATTGTGGTGAAGACAACAACTCCCATGATCCCACGCTACTTCATGACATTATCAAACTTTGTTATTGTTTTGGTGTGAGAGACCTCCTAGCAGCAGAAATTACATATTGTACGTTTAAAAACCAGATGAACCATGAAGATCATCTTTTTTACTCTACGCATTCTTCTTTACATTACCCACAATGCAACTCAACCACTGACAGTTTGGTCAGAGGTTCAGGCATGTTATGCTAGTAACAGTAGCTCATGCTAGTAAGATAGCCACCAGCATAGATGAGAAGCAGGCTATAGAGGTCTGGTAAACTGCCTACACTCCACACCCCCAGATATTTTCATTTCCAAACTTGTAGTCTGTAACTATCCATATTACTGTAAGTTTCAGTGACACACAAAAGACACTTTGAGAAGCAGGTTTTGGAAAAAAACATCAATTTTTATTTTGAAATGACTTTTCTTTTGCCCACTCAGTTTTCTCTCTTTTTCTTTTTTTGCATTCTTTTTTTGAAAATGTCTTCTGCCAATATCCAAGACAACAATGCTCTTAAAAAGAAATCAAAAGGTCAAGGTTCAGAGAAAATAAAATTCATCTCAAAAACAAAATAAAAGTACAACAAAAAAAAAAAATCCTATTTTTTTGCAGGGTGGAAGGGAGGGTTGAAACCAAATAAACAAACAGAGATGCTACAACCGAGAAATGGCCCCTCCTGGGTTGGGATGACATGCACAAGCCCACGTTGCCATGGGCCATGTGCCGATCAAAGTCCCGCCCCCATGTAAGGAGGATAGCCAATCACAGTGTAGTGTCCACAAGCTCCCATGATGCCCCTCTCTCCCTGGGAGACTAAGGCAGTCAAACACAGTAGGTTACAGTATGCATGGATATCTTTAAGGGGTAGATAGTGAGATGAGACACCAGAGGGAAAGATCTCCATTCTTAAAATCCTTTGGGAAACATTCATTACTTGACTGCAAGTGCTGCTGATGGATCCATATATTAGCTGTTTCTCTTTCTATGGCATATCCACAGGTAGAAATCCCCCTGGAAGAGCAAGAATCTAATTTTTTGCCATGTACTCTACCATAGCTCTGGAAACAATTAACAGAAACTGGAAGGAGAAAGCAAAAAGTACACTGAAATAAGGTCCAAAAACACAAAAAGGACACATTTGGGCTTGTGATAAAAGCGATTCACAGCACAAAGCGAACAAGTATGATGGCAGGGGTTAAGTGACAGTCCAACTCAGGGCAAGACTTAAGGTTGACTTTGAGGCTGTAATCCAAACACAGCTGTCTGGCTGCAGATGAAGAGGTGGCTAAATGTGTACTCAGCACTATGACTCAAAGCAACCATCGCCAAGGATATCGTTAGAAAATGGAGATCTTTTCCTCCTGGAGGTACAGTGTATCATGACTAAGAGCATGCTCTGGTGTCAAACACATGCCTGCGAGTAAAGAGCTTCATTTCAAAAAAATGAGACATCTATCCGTGTCCATGAACATGTTCTTACGACACGATCCATGATCACAATATGAGATTTTGAAGTGAAACCCTTCGTTTTTTCACATCCTCATTACATGAAATCATTCCTAGCAAACAGCGCTGAAGCCTTGATGTAACTTCATATTGCTGCTCAACTGAGATGAGGATGAGTACGAGATGATGATGCACAGCACAGTAGATAACCAACCATGAGCTGACCAGGGAGAGGGCAGAGGGTATGAGAGTAGAGAAGGCCATCTGTGATCTTTAAAGAGCGCTCATACACTTGATTTTGACTACGCGTTAGTGTGTGCGTGATTGCTAGCTAGCGTGTTCCTTCAGAGTGTTGGTCGCATGCATCCTAAGAATCAGAGTTTTTCAGCGCGATCTCGTCAGCAATGTAGTAACAGAACTGTGCTGGCGGCTATTTTTGGACTAGATCCGCCCATTAAAGGGAACAGTTCGGCATTTTGGGAAATTTGCTTGTTTGTTTTTTTGTTGATGGTAGTGAGATAAGATCAATACCGCTCTCATGTCTGTCCATTCAATATGAAGCTACAGCCAGCAGCCGCTTAGCTTAGCTTAGCATAAAGAGGTGGAGGTAGAAAATATAGAACATACATACCAACATTTTAAAAGCTTGTTATATATATATCTCATTTGCATTGGTAAAAAAAGTGTAAAAATGTGCATGTCCGACTATTCCTGGGCCAAAAACAGTGACTTCCTGGAGTCTCTATTAGTTGCCTGGCAACTGCTTCTGTGCTGTTTTTACACTTTTTCTACAAACTAAACAGACAGGATACAAAATGTTACTTAGTGAGCGGTGGTAGCTCCAGCTATAAATGAACTGTTGAGACGTTGAAGTGGCACCAATCTTCTCATCTAATTATTCCTTACTGCTAACAATACGATAGCGTCCTTCAGTGTCACCACGTTAAGTATCTTTATGCGTGCAAAACCTGATACAATTCATGCACTTTAATCTTTGTTTAATCTTTCAGATGCACAAACGGATGCAAGCAAGTGAACAATGCTGCTCACACATAAGCTTTGTTAAAATCGAGTACATAAGTGCCCTTATGCAAATGTTGTCATTTTAGAGGTGCACCTACAGCACCTGTATTGTCAGGATCTGTGCCAAAACACTCTACAGTAACTCAGATCTGTTCTTATTCTGCAGCTGTTGTTGAGAGTAAATTAATAAACTAGCTGTTTCCTAATAAGCCATAAGCATAAACCGTGTTTGGTTAGTATTTGAAACTGGTTCTACAGTGCTCCTGGTGCACCTCTGCTTTCTGTGTTTTTGAAAATTACCAAATCGTTCACCATGAGGTCTCTTTCTGGACCTCACTTTGGAGGTAAAACGTGTGTGTGTGTGTGTGTATGTGTGTCCGGTGCATGCATTTCCCTTTCATCAAATGCCCTCTCCATCCCGCCTCGCCCTCTCCCCAAGAGGTAGCAGCCCTGCCCTAACACTCCCTGCCCCCACTTATTCCACCCCACCAAACCAGACCCGACCCCCCCTCCCCCAACCCTTCCAGTGGACCGTGGCACGTTGCTACTCGGCCTGAGCGTCATAATTGGCTCCGCCCGCCTTCTTCAGCTCCATGCGGATGTTGTCCTCATCCAGTTCCCTCGGGTCACTAAACATGAACTCCTTGGCAAAGTTCTGCAGAAATAAAACACATGCTGAAGTGAAGAGCAGTGCTACTATAGGATAAACGCATGCACCAAAATGCAGTTTACATCAGCTGTTTGGCATTACGAAAGCAATGACTGAGGACTTTAAACTGGACAACTAATGATGACAGAGAAACAATATGCACATTTGATCACTTTGAAAAACCCAAAGGGT